TTGTCCTTGTCTTACCCAAAATAACAAATTTTATAAACCCCAAGTGGTGTTTGTCTTGAAACATGCCACGTGTCGGCCTTGTTTCCCCCCTAACTCGACTCTACTTTTCTTTTCAATTTTGATATTTAGAATTTTTTAAGAAAAAAAAATTTAGCTACTATGAATTTATAAATATATAAAAAAATATAGAATGTTTCTGTAATTTTGTAAATAAAAAGGAAAGAGGGTACAGCTGGTAATAGTGATGGGTTGGCTGGAAAGCCAATTGTAAATCAGCCAAAATCTAAAGGTTCGTTTGATTTAAAAAAAACGAATCGTTTTTATTTTTATTTTTTGAAAAATAAAAATAAAAACTTTCAAACAAATATTTAACTTTAAAATAAGAAAATGATATTTAAAAAGTAAAACAAATATAGAAAAAAATGAAAGCGTAAAAAAAGGCCCTTTGAACTCAATTCGTACTACTTTTAACAATAGTTTTTTATTGATTTTAAAATTTTATTTGTTTAATCATATTTTATTTTTATTATAATAATTTTTTTAATAACTATATTCTAAACTTAATTATAATTAAATATTTATTTATGTATTTAAATTCTAGAAAATCAAATATAAAATATATTTGTACTATTTTATTTTGAAAACAAGATTTAGTTTTTATTAATCAAACTTTTATTTTCTTTAATTTTAAAAGATTAAAAATATTTTAAAAATCTAACTGATCATAATATTTTCTTCTTTTAAATTGAATGAATTTATTTATTTATTTTTCATTTGGGGAGGATGGCCAGACATATATAGTAGGGTAAAGGAAACACTTCATAATGCATTAATGCCCTTTAACTTGGTTGCATGGGAAAGGTCTTTTCTTTCTTTTTGAGTCCGGGATATATATATATATATATTATGAACTAAAATATCTCGATTCTTTGCCTTAACCCCCAAGTAATAGTAACGTGGTATCTATACTTGTATTTTATTTTAGTGCCGCCTTTAACCATAGTGTCTAATAAAATTTTATTTTTTTGTTTCATATATATAATATATATATATATATATTTAAAAAATTGATCGTCACTGTTCATACATATTACTTGTCTTTGGTTTCGAAAATATTGCTCTGGCATTTCAGACCTTGGACGTTGTGACCCTTTATTATTACATGCCTACAGTACCATAGGCCCTCGACATTGAAAGTGTCCAGTGTTACAGGCTTCTGATGCTACATACATTTGTCATTCTAAGTATAACACGCTTTCGATTAGTATATACATCCTTTGATAACCCTGAACCAGGGGTGAATGTATTCAGTTCCTAATGAAAACAGTTGTATATTTATTATTTTAAAAAAATTAAACTTTAATTTAATATATTAAGGACAAAAGAAAAAAAATACGAAATTTGCATGCCTACTGTAAAAAAAAAGCAGAAAAATTAAAATATTAGGCTCTTATTTATTAATTCTTAAATTTGCCACTACTAAACCACATATTAGTAGCTCAGGATTACTAGTCAGTTGCAGTCTTTAATAAAAAAAACGTTAATTACGTACATATTTTCAACGAAAAATATTTTAAATGTTTAAAATAAAAATCTTCAAAATCTTTTAAATTGATAAATCTTCAAAATCTTTTAAAATAAAAACCATCCGAATAAATTTGCCTAATTTTATTTTTTTTTTATTTTTTTTCGTTAAACATTGTTTAATTAATAAATTATTTTAAATTAATTAATTTTTATATAATAATAATAAAATTTCAAATTCTTAAACCTAAATACAATAAATAATATTGTATTCTATTTTTACATTAAAATTAATATAATTCTATTTATAAATATATATTTTTGAGTATATCTATTAATATACTACTAAAACAACAAAACCCTATTCCCATATACAATGGGGTAAGGTGAGGTAAGATAGTATGCTGTCCCTAACATCAAGTTGAGAACAGCTTCCGTAGAAGACCTCCGGTAGTCAGAAAAATCAAAAAATAAAGATAAAAATCCAATGCATATATAAATAAATAAATTAATAAATACATAGTTGAACAATTATCATATACAGTTTTCATACGTGCGTCTGTAATGGGAAGTAATCCCTGCAAATAAGTCCATGTGTACAAATCTCTGCATATAGACAATAACGAATTTCCCGGCTAAATTTAGAAAGAGTAAACATTAAGAGAAAGATACATAGAAGTCATCGATAGCAAGTTATGAGAAGTAATAAAGTCAAATTGGTTAAAACCTAAACTAAAACAACACTACTCCGCTATCCTAATTCTAATCCTTCTTAAATTCCAGTGACAGAAACGAATAAAAAGTATAAGTCATGGGAATTACTACAGAGGCATTAAAAAGAAGACAGAGATGTTACACCTTATGGCTGTGACCCACAACTACTCGGCTACCCTGGTCTTAAATCTCCATAATTTCCTATCAGATGTCATGTCCTCGGTAAGGGTTAAATCTTTTAAATCTGATCTCAAACACTCTAACTACTTCCTCCTTGGTCGTCCTCTCCTTCTGACACCCTCAACTGTAATCGACTCTATCCTATTAATATATTATTTATTAATCAATTAATCTTGATTGAGTATTATAGAGACAATGACAATCTTTCTAACTCAACTTTTCTATATTTATAAATATCAATATTTGATCTAACTTAAAAAATTTAGTACTCGTACTTATCTAAGTTATTATTACTTATTTATAAATATTTTAGAGAGAGATAAACTCCACTGGTGGGGGCAAGAGAATATTATTAAAAGGGCCCAGTACACCCTGTAAACAACTAAAAAAACATAAATTCCCGCAAAAATAAATGTTGAGCTATCGTAGTCATAAATATCTTTTGATTTTGATTTTATATTAATTATTAATCTTAAAATTTTGAAAATATATTAAATCAAACTCAGATGGTTTTCATTATAATTCATGAGGTTGTTATGGATATTTTAAAGACTTTATATCATGGTTTTAAGAATCGGATCGATTAGCGGATCGGTTAGTAAATCGGTCATGCTATTGGTTCATTGGTTCAATCGGTTGAATTGGTCCGATCGGTCGAAAGAACCGGACGACGTCATAATTATTTAAAAAATTAAATAAAAATACCAAAAATATTTAATAAAAAATAATTTTTTATATCACAAGTCATATTCAAAGCAAGTCATAACATATATAAGTTAAAAACCATAAAATCAAGTGAAACAAAATTATTCAAATTAACTACAACATAATATTTAAGGTAAAACATATTAAATAATAAATATAATTATATAACTATAATTAAAAAATAAAATTGAGATTAAAAAAATCATAACAAAATGATATTGTTTGGTTTAATTTTAAAAAAAAAACAATCTCACATGGCTAAGAAACATAGAAGAGCATCCCAAAAGTCTAAAGAGAAAATATGAGAACAAAACAATCTCACATTGCTAAGAAACATAGAAGCGCATCACAACTAACTTCTATAAATAATAGAGCTAATTTGACATTCAAAATCATGGAGCATTTTGGTGAGCATCGAGTGAACTATTCTTTCACTTCAATCAAGCTCGAATTTTAGGCTTCAATCGAGCTTCTAATTTTTTTTTTGAGTTCAAGCCTTTTTGAGTTCAAGTTTCAATATTATATTTCGAGTTTGAGTTGAACTTGATAATTTTTAGCTTGTGAGTTTGAGTTGAGTTGAGCTTACTTTTAAAGTTTTCAAGTTCGAGTCGAGCTCAGCAATACTCGAGTTCGACTTGGCTCGTTTAACAAACGACGTTGTTTGGTTTAATTTTTTAAAAAAAAAAAACAAAAATCCCGGTTTTCCCCCTTTTTTTTTCGGTTTTCAGTCGGTCTGATTCGAACGGTTCAACGGTTCTAACAGGTTCACTAATAGCGATTCAACCGGTTTCTGAACCGAACTAAGCAACGGTTCTCGGTTGAACCGACCGGTCCGGTCCGATTTTCAAAACAGAGCTTTATATTTGGTTTAGTTAACATGATTTTGATACTTGACAAAGACAAAAGTTTCGAGACATTGAACGTTAAAATTTGATTTTTTATTTTAATTGATTAAATATGTGTGAATTTGATTTTGATAGGTTCTTATGGTTTCTATTATAATTCATGTGTAAATTTGATGTTTAATCGATGTTATGATATTAATTGATTTTTCTTTATATTTAAATGGTTATATTTTTATGAATACAACGTGGAAAATGATACTACTATTTTGTTATTTATAGTGTCGGCAAACTCATTTTGAATGATATATCAGTGTTCGAAAACGCTTACCGTTGCACCATCTCCCATCTAAACAGGCGATTTACAGTCTAATAAATTAGGGATTCTGAAGTTCTCAAGAGATTAGGGCTTGAACTGGTTTTCTCTGTTGAGGGTCTGGACCTGTATGTTGCACCAAGTCCCCTTAGAAACTGATATAATCTGCCATGCCCGTATGCATCAGAATATTTTGTACATGTCAGCCAAAGATCTAATTGATTAATTCAGCTGTAGTGTATATCTGCAACTTTATAAGCATTCTTATTTCCTTAAAGGTAGGGTTGATGGGCAATGAATAAGGAGTGGACCGGCATTATCTAATTTGGTCTGATCTATGGAAACTAACCCTATAATAGTTGCAGGCTTGCAACAGCCATTGCCACGTCACACATTACCTACTTAAGATGCATAGTCGCATGTGAGTATGTGTACTAAATCATTGGACCATGGATGTGTAAAATCAGTGAGCCTATGTATATCAATATACTAATAATACTCTTTCAATACATCTATAGTTCAATCGCAGATAAAAGAGGGATAAAGTTCATGAACAAGAATCACTATATAAATGGAAATTCATGAACTTCATTTACCAACAACTTCAAAGGTTTACAGTATTAAAACACTGAAACAAACCATCATCAATAATTCCAGAAAAATGTCCTTGGCATCCAAGAAATCAATGAAGTAACTTGATCTACATCCAATCAGTCAACACGTTTAAACCGGAAAATGAACTATGTTTAGTTCTCATCGAAGTGCCTCGATCATCATTACCACGGGAAGCCCCTTATCTTTCCTGATTCGTGTTCCGACCATCACAATCTCTGGTGCCTCACTCCCTGTTGGTGGCAAACTCTCCATTGGGTTGGCCGGCAGAACATAGGTTTGATGAGAAAACTTGGGTGGCTCAGCAATAGCAGTGTCACTACCTTCACTAACCAAGGATCCGTATAATTAAAGCTTATCTGGGACATTAATCTTTTAACTTCAATTTGGTCTAATCCGTGTTAACTAACTCTACTATAGCCTTCAGGTTTGCAGCAGCCATTGCCACATTACATATAACTCAGATTTACAGTATTAAAGCTCTGAAACAAACCAGAACTCATTGGAATACCCTCGGCATCAAAGAAACAAAATGAAGTAACTTGATCTGTATTCTGTATCCAATCACTCAACACGTTTAAACAGGAAAACGTACCGTGTTTAGTTCTCATTGTAGTGCCACGATCATGATTACCATGGGACGCCCCCTTATATTTCCTGATTCGTGTTCCGACTGTCATCATCTCTGGTGCCCCACTCCGCAATGGCGGCAAACTCTCCGGTGGGTTGGCTGGCGAAACATAGGTCTGATGAGAAAACTTGGGTGGCTCAGCAGTAGAAGTGTCACTACCTTCACCAACCAAGGACCCGTATCATTACACATTGCACCGACTCTTCATTTTTTTACTTATTCATGTCTAATATTCATATATCTTCAACTTATATTCGAAATGAATATCAAATATAATTCTCCAAATATATGAAAAATAAAATAAAATCATTCAGCAATACATACGTAAGATGCAGCATTGAATATGAAAATGCAGTACTAATGTGCCATAGAAACCATGAAATACACCACGGTATTACTAAGTCATTGGAAAATCATGAACATTAAACATGAAATTAGGAAAAAGTACCGTGTTTAGTTCTCATAGTGGTGTCGCCATGGAAAACCTCCTTATCTTTCTTGATTCGCGTCCCAACAGTCACCATCTCCAAATCCCCACTCCCCGTCGGAGGCGAAATCTCCGGTGGGTTGGCCGGCGAGGTTTGATAAGAAAACTTGGGCGGCTCTGCAATAGCAGTGTCAGTGTTGGTATCACTACCTTCACTAATCAAGGACCCGTATCTTGCAACAAGAATCCCATCGAGTCCGTGGACAGCAAGGTTGGACCCAATGAAAAGATCCGGGACTGAGACCATTACCCCATCGACTGTAACGGTTAGCAAGGCGGAGCCGTTGCGGGTGGACATAGCACGTTCCACAAAGAGTCGACGGTTAGGGAAGAGGGTGTCGATGAATCCGGGGCGAGGGAGGGCGAGGAGGTCCGAGGAGGAAAGGAAATGCGGGGACACGTGGAGGAAGAGAGAGAAGGTGTAGAGGCGGGCGGAGGAGAGGAGATCGAGGGAGAAGAGGAGGGAATCCGGCGGTGCAAAGAGGGTGAATATGGAAGAGTTTTGGGACGAGAGGAGGCGGACTTGGAGATCGGAGGTGGTTATGGCGTTGGGGAAGAGGGTATAGCCTCTTGATTGGAGGGCTAAGAGGGCGGCGTCCAGTTCTTTGATGGTTAAGCCGGCGGTGGTGGCGGCGGCGGCGAGGAGGAGAAGAAGGATTACGCTTGCTGGCTTGGAGGAAAGGATTTTCATTTTCTGTTAGTTTTGGCGGGTGGATTTCTTAGTTTCTTGGCATTTGCCATTTGGAAGTATTGGGTTATCGGGTGCAGGTGATTGTATAGGAGTTGTCATGATCTTGAATCTTGTTATGGCCAGCGGTGTTTTTTTGTTTGGTTGCTAATTCTCTAGTTTACATTTGTTTTATACGTGTGCCTTCTTTCGTGATGGAATCCGGAATAGCATTGACTTCTACTAACTTGTTGAACTACACAGACTCGCTGATTTTTGTCATATACAGATACAGTGGTTGTTAATTTGTTTATATTGTTAGTATTTTGTATATGCTCATTTTTATTTTACAGAAAGGATTAACTTGGGATCTTTCCCTTTTTTCTATTCAACTTTTAGTTCTTCAGGAGATCTTGTTTTTTGTCCGTTTGTTTGTTGTTTGACGAGGATTGTGTATTTACATGCAAAAGATCTAACTTATATATAAGGAGATTAAACAGTTCTCGAAAAATGTTTTTGCAATTGAAAATTTGATGCAGTGTTGGAATCAATATATTAGATTGGAAATCTGAGTTCCAACTTAAAATGCGGAGGAGTTTTAAACAAGATTTGCATTTTTTATAAACGTTTGCAGGGAAGAGATGGCAGAAAGTTTGCGGGAGAGAGGGCCATTGGCTCTCAGATCTCTTACTAACAGCGACCTTCTTCAATTGGTTAATTTGTTAAACTCTGATAAGAAATGGATTGAAGAATGCCCCTCCCGAATGAATCCTTTCAAGATCGGTAGGGCTGTTGACAAGAGTCCGGATTTGGGACATTCGCTCGCTGCAAAAGGGTCGAGACCAATCTTTATGAGCACTCCATCAGAGGCAAACTTGCAGCCAAAACATGAAGGAGAAAAAGGAATTGCAGAATGCTTCTCATTTTGGAGTTTCATCTACCGTCATCAATGAGAGATCTCTCCATATGACATACTGGCAGACTGGAAAACTTGTGAAAGAGATACTAAAGGAACACCATGAAGGATACAACATCAGCAATTTCAAGAATTTGTTCCTCTTGAGGTATGGTTATTCTCTCAATATACAAAGACTTGGTTACCAAAAGTTGTCTTCTCTTCTGGAGATAATGCCCGGGGTTAAAATCAACTCAACTTTTATAACTCCTGCAGGTACGGTTCCAGGAAATTCAGGCCTGGAAACTGCTATTCCTAACATTCGAGAAAATACCAATCATGCAGTAGGGAAGACAGCTTGTGCATTGCATGATGCATCGATAACTGGTGATGATGATTCAACTCTACATGGAATGAACTAAGCTCAGTTTCGAACACAAGTTCAAATAGAAAGGAAGTAGAACAAAGATTGCATGTCTTGACTATGAACCATCTCTCCGGGGTGACGAAACTTTGGATTCCGAAGGGGAAATCTCAATATCAGAGCGATCACGAGCACAACGGAAGCTAGGAGTAGACAGGAGAGACAGCCCGTTATTGGAAACCCTCAGTTCATGGTACAGTAGTAAGGAAGGAAAGGATAGGAAGGATACCTAAGAGAGCTGGGAAAGTATGGTCGATTGTACCATGGCATAATTATTTTTTATGTTTTGATAAAAACATAATTATTAGTAAGGAAGGAAAGGGTAGGAAGGATAGGAAGCATTTACTCATCTTTCTAATATTAAATTTAAATTTATACTAATTCCTTTTATGTTTTGATAAATTATTTTTTAAACACGTGTAATAATTTAGTTTTTTTTTCATGTTATACCATGTGTACCCAATGTCTGTACCGTACATTGGGAAGGAAATTTGGTGCTAGCTTGAAAATTCGAAGGGTAAATAAGGGATTTCAGATTTCTTTCATCCAACGGCCAGAAATCCATAAGTTGGTAAGGCTAAAAGTCTAATGTTTTGCATTACTTATATAATGAATAACACTTATTGTAGGCTTGCGTTTTCTAAGGGGTGATTTGGTGTTAGGGTGCAACGTTATTCGTACTTATCTCAGGGATGAAATGAAGAGAAAGAGGATATGTTGAGATAATCGTTTTTAGAAAATTTTAAATTAGTATATATTTTAGATATTTTTTTGTACTTTTAACTGAAAATTTATTTTCCTAAAATTCTAAAATTTTATCATTTTTAATTAAAAAAATTGTGTTTATCATTATCTATACTATAGCCAGTCGCTACAGAATTTGTGCTGCACTGGATGCCCATTCTTTCCGCTTTCTAGTAATGATCGAGTCATATGACAATGATCAAGAGCCGGTGGGTTACTCGTTGAGACCTCCTTTTCTTTTTACCTTTTGCTAATATGTTGATATATCCTATAAAAAAATGGATCGAGAGTGTAGGGACAATCGTTTTTATTAAAAAAATTAAATTATAATATATTTTAAATATATTTTATAAATTCAACTTTCTTAAAATTTTAAAAATTTATATCTCTTAACATAAATTTTTAGGTACGTCTCTACTTCCTATCAATTTTGTGCCTAACTATCTTTTGCATTTCTCATAATCAACGTGCTCCAAATTAAAGAAAGCCCTACCAAACCATAAATATGTGCGTATCTAACAATATCAACCCACGGGAATTAACCTTTTAGGGTTTAGACTGCTTTATTTATTGATCTATCCAACCAACCTCGTGCTTTATGAGTAGCGAACATCCTTTTCATTTGACATGAAACACACATCCAATTCTTCTTCTTGGAGCTTGTTATAATATTTTAAACCCTAAACCCTAAGATCTAAATATAATCTCTAAACCCTAATTAGATAATCAGACTTGCACTTGGTGATCAAAAAGCAAAGTGTTAATTAGAGGATTAAATGGCCCTAGCCCCTAAAGAAAGATTAATAATGCGGTTCATGAACAACTTTAGCATCAATCCGTATGGCTAAGGGCCGTCAAAGCAATAGCGACAGTTTTGATATCAATTAACTGATAAAAACAGATCAGTGCATGAAAGCCTTACTTTTGCTGTTCGACCATGCAAATTTCGTCATGGAGAATTCATGCGCTCACAAAAAAGAAAACTACGGTTCAACTTATTGCATGGAAAAGTAATCTTTGGTTCAACTCGTTGCATGGAAAAGCAACAAAAAGGAAAAGGAAACAAGACCTTACTTGAAAGACGCCATGTACTTTGTTTCTTTTTTAATCTGTGGATTTGGTGAAACCAATCTTCCTTTTCTAAGATTTAACAAGATACAAGAACAAAAGCACACTTTGAAGATAAGAAGAAGATAGGAAATGTATTGTAATGCCATTTTCATAACATTAATGCTAGAATCGAGCAGTCGTTTTAATGCAACAATTTTATGAGGTCAAACAAAATTCAAGCTGTAAGTTCTAAAAAGAATATTTATTCAATCTTTTTTCAAGTACTCAACTTGCTTATTTCACCTTAACAGTATACTCGTTTTAATGCTTTAAAGTTAATAATGCATTATAAAGGATCTAAAAAGTTACAGAGATGACACAATGAGTTATATATATATATATATATATATATATATATATTTATAAATTCAAATATTTGATCATCAAAAAATATTTTTTCATAAGAAATTTTATCTAATAAATGTAATCATTAAGTAATCTTCAACTCTTAGAATTACACAAAAATCTAACTTAATTATTAATCAAAATTTGAACCAATACAAAAAAACCTTAGAACTATGGTATTAAAAAGAACTTTAGAACAAAAAATGAGTCATTTAAATATGATTTTGTTAAAAAAATAAGAACGAAAATAAAATACCAATAAAAAGATTAAAGATTTATTTCATTAATATTTTAAACTCAAAACACTTTGAAAATTTATTCAAATAAAAAAATCAAATAGACGAGAAATACTGTTATTGGTGGGAAAAACACCATGAGATGAAATTTACCTAATTGAAAACATGTCTCGAAACAAGACATATAATGTAGATTATTAATTAAAATGAGATTTACCTTTATGTTAGAATCTCTATTGTCTCAAACATTATTATTGAGCAATCTTATGGCTCTACATATTAAATATGCACAGATGTTTCAAAGTGAGTGATGGTGGGTTCAAAACAGTTCTTTTTATTATTATTAGGGGTTGAAAAGAGGTTAAATGAAAAAGAAGTAAATAATTTTTAATCCTTACTTTATTTAGATTAGAAACCATTAAAAATAAATTTATTTTTAATTAATAAAGCTGAAGTTGAAATAAATTAAAATCTTGGTGTTTGAAGTCTGTATAATTGAAAAATAGTACAGTAGCAAAATTATTGGATGATTAAGGGGAAGAGTGGTCCGTCATTAAAGGGTGATTGGGACAATCAAAACGACGCATCAGTTTTACGTATCTAAGATTTTGATACGAATTTGACCATTTATTGGAACAGATAATCATATCTAAATTATTAATGGACCTTTCTTTTTAATGTACCATTCCAAAAATCCAGCTTAAAATTCCATAGGTGCATGCTAAGACCATATCTGTCTCATAATAAAGTTGGTGTCGGGAATGACACATCAACAGTTCCATACTGAGATGCCTTAATTTAGGGTAACGGATTGCCGATGTTAAGAAAAATATGTTTGAGTAATTAAATTTGGGACGGCTTAATTTAGTGTAACGGCTTCCCATTGTTTTGTTGAGTAATTAAGTTTGATTTGAGGGATAATCATGGTCATGATTAAATGGCTTAATTTTACCATTTTTTATTTCTTTTTAAGGGATAATTATGTTCAAAATCTTTCTCCATCATTGAAAACGTACATATATAGGTGTAAATTAATCGAACTTGAATGAACAAGACTATGTTTGCGTTCGTTTGTCTATTTTTTAAGGTGTTCATGTTCGTTTAAATTTTTTATATCGTGTTAATGTTCACTTATTTATTTATAATGTGTTTGCGTTCGTAGGTATAGCATTCACGAACATATTCATTTGCAAGTTAAAAAATGATAAAATTATGTCAGTGGTACTTAAACTCCTTAAGTTTTATAGCTTAAACATCAAAGTTCATCATGTATTCAATTTAGTCCCTATATTTACAAATATTTAAAAAGTAAAAAAAAATAAAAAGAAAACGAGCTTCTAAAAGAGCTTATAAACGAGTCAATAAACGACAATGTTCATGAACATAAATGACCGAGTCAATAAATAACATTGTTCGTGAACATAAACGAATGAGTCCATACTATGTTCATGTTTGTTCGTTTATTAAATGAACAAAGAATATTTTGTTCATACTCGTTTACTTAGCTTAACAAACGAACATAAATGAACATTATACAAATGATTTACGAATAGTTCACCGAATGTTATATTCATTTATACCCCAATGCACACACTTTGAAGACTCAAATGCTCGAACTCGAGACCTCTAAAGATAAAACATTCTCTCATACTAAAAGTCGCTTAACTAGTTTAAATTTATTTAAAATCTCATACATTAGTCAATCATTTTATATAAATGTTATATCATATTTTAAATTTTAATATCATGCTTTAATTTCTTTTAAGCAATATTAATTATACATACCCTACCTAGGTAGTTATGGCGTAAGTCAACCTAATATACGGCTAAAGAAAGACGTTACCAGAAATATTAATATTTTTTAGCATTTTCGGTAAAACGCCACTTGAAATATTATTTTTTATACCGAAAATGTTAATTTCACACCTTAATTTTCGATAAAAAAATAATATTTTAGATAACGTCAAATATTAACTTTTTCGATAAAAAAATAATACTTTACGTAATACTTTATCAAAAATATTAAAAAAATATTAACATTTCAAATAATACATTTCGTGCGTATATTAAGCTGCCATATCTTGGGCATTCCTACCCTACTCACAGTAAAATTAACCCAATCTTGAAACAATTGCAGCCATCAATCATGACTAATGACTTTTGGTGGTCCCTTCGCCAAAAGCAGACCCTACTAACTTCAACACGTCTCGTTACAAAGAAGCAATCGTTGCTTTCGAGGCTTTGGACAACGAAAGTTTATAAATATTACTTAAAAATCATTTTAAGATAATCTTTTATAATATACTAATTACATTCTGCCTAAGTAAATATTAATTCCAGTTCCTCACATTTCCCATATTTTCAATGGGCATTATATTACTTTCTATCGCCCATTCTCACAGTCTTCAACCTATATATAAACCCTTGATCTTCCATTGTTGCATGCACTTGAAGTTCCAAAACTTTCTTCAACAAGAAAAGAAAATGGAGAAAAAGAAGCCCTATCTTGCAGTAATTCTCGTACAATGCATTTACGCAGGCATGTTCTTGGTGTCCAAGGCTGCATTCGATGGCGGTATGAACAATTTCATCTTCGTTTTCTACAGGCAAGCTGCTGCTACCGTTTTACTGATCCCTCTCGCCTTGTTATTCGAGTGGTAAGATAAATTTCTTCAGGTGTATAATTTCTTCAATTTTCTTTGACAAAAAAGATATAATTATTATTTTCTTCCCAAACTGAATTAGGAGAACTGCGCCACCTCTATCATTAGGGACTTTCTGCAAGATTTTTATGCTATCATTAATCGGGTAAGTCTACTTGGAGTTATCATCATTTATACATGCATAGGGTTCAAGTTTCGGATTTAGGGTTATGGTTTATGTGTTGTGGAAAATACTTTAGGATAACTTTGAGCTTGGATATCAATGGAGTCGCCCTGGTTTATACATCTGCAACTTTAGCTGCGGCAACAACGAATTGCCTGCCCGTTATCACTTTTTTCATTGCTGTGTTACTAAGGTAAAATATTAGTCTATTTCTTAGACATTTTTGCACCATCTTTTCCTTTTTCTTTCTTTTTGGTTGCCATCAATTATTTTGTGTGTGTATTAACTTCCCCCCCCTTTTTTTGAGTAATATCCGTGAATAACTTAATTGACAAGTTTCAAAATTTGTGTATTTTGGTAAATAATTTAAATCTGTTAACGTAAGATCTAAATTGATTCAGATTAATCTATTAATGAGATTTGAATATGACAGAATGGAGGCATTGAGACTGAAAACGATTGCTGGGCTTGCAAAGCTTGTAGGTATACTAATATGTTTGGCTGGTGCATTGACCCTTGCCTTCTACAAGGGTCCCCATTTCAAACTCTTTTGCCTCCATCACCTGTTCGGTCACCACCATAGCCCGACACTTCCAAGCCCAACATCCTCCGTTGGCGAGGCATGGATAAAGGGCTGTCTCCTCATGTTGCTTTCCAACACTTGTTGGGGCTTATGGCTCGTTCTACAGGTAGCCGACCATTTACCTTTATCAATGTACATGCAATATACGATAAAACTGTACTAATATTCGGTCAGATGATTAAAAACCTATTTGTTTGTGAAACAGGGTCTGGTTTTGAAGAACTACCATTCGAAACTTCTCTTCACAGCTCTTCAATGCCTTTTGAGCACATTCCAATCATTTGCTATTGCTATTGGCTTGGAACGAGACCCTTACCAATGGAGACTGGGGTGGAATCTTAGACTCCTTGCAGTAGCCTATTGTGTAAACATCTGCTTCGACCCTTTCTTTTATATATATATATATAAAAGCCGTCCAACGATATATGGGATGAAACGTTTGGTAGGATTGTGCAGGGGATAGTGGTGACAGGCGTGACATATTACCTACAAGCATGGGTTATTGAGGCGAAGGGGCCAGTGTTCTTGGCCATGTCCACACCATTGAATCTCATATTCACAATCTTCTGTTCTGCAGTTCTCTTATGTCAGTTCATAACTGCAGGAAGGTCAGATTTTCTCTCTCTTTTCTACTTATTAGAATCCATCTAAATTGTGAAGCTGAGTTAATTAATGTTTGTGAAATTTGTGCAGTCTTTTAGGTGGGGTTTTACTCATCGCAGGGCTATATAGTGTGTTGTGGGGGAAAACAAAAGAGCAAAGAATGATGGATGATGAAAATTGTTTACCAGCACATCATGTGGACAAAGGCTGCACAGAGTTGAAAGTGGTGGGCGCCTCATGAATTGCATCACATTGTTATTTAGTTCTGAAATCATGGAAGAGGAAGGCTCGAGGCAACCATTAGCATCTTCTTAATTAAAATCATTTTGGAGAATATATATAGCTTCCGAACTGATACATTAGATTTTGTATTGAATTTGTATGATCTAAAATATCATTTTTTTAGATTATCAAATATAAATATGATTTTCCATATATATTTGATTACAAAAGGAAGTGTTGTCCGAAATTAAACTCGAATCTGGATCGAACCTGAAAGAAACACATGTCACTGTGAATGAGTAGAAAAAATATATAGAAAACACAAACTCAGATGAACGAAAAATGAACTTCCAGAGCAACAAACATAAGTCACATAGAAGCCGTAAACCAAGTGAACAACTTGATTTCTATAACATAAAGAAAAATGTGTTTTTATCACACAAACACTTCACTTTGCTACTTCAGTCTTCCGTTCTTCACTTTCAGCTGCCGCTGCTGATGTTTCTTTCTTTTCCGTCTCAGCCACATCCACGGTTGCTGTTGCCTCTGATGCTGCTTCGGGTTCAACAGACAAAGGCTCTGGCTCCTTGGCCGACTCGATTGGCTCAGTCGGCTTCTTCTCCTCGATTGGTTCTTGATCCACTGGTTCTAGTGGTTCGGTTTTCGTTGGCTCCGATGGCGTGTTGTTATTGGTCTCGGTCTCAGCTGCACTCTTCTTTTCATTCTGCAAAAAGGACATAGGGAAAGCACATTGAAAAATATCCCTTCTTTTGTTCCCCCGTCAATCTCGTGCTTCGAATCTTGATTGATAATACAAAATCAACAGGAAAACATACGTGGAATTATTATTATTATTATTATTATTTTGAATCTTTCCCTTCAATTTCACTTTCTCATCAACCAAACGACCCACATGAACCAGTCATAATTCAGTAAAACAGCCAACATATTGCAAATGAAATTATATTCAAATGAAAGATCCCATCATCCCAGTCAAATGCTTTAAAACGTGTACAACATAGTCATGGAGTCGCAGAAAGTTGTACCTGGTTCAACAAGTTACCAAGAGATTGTGGCTTGCTCGCTTCATCATCGACCTTATTAGCCTCATCAACATCCTTGCTCTTAACATCCTCACCACCAACATCATCTTCCGTCTTTTGATCGCCTTTTTCAGCAGCGACATCCACACCCTCCGCCGTAACGAGATGTATCAGTTTCAAGAAAACTCAAGTATATTCAATGATCAAGATGCATATTCAAGCCACATGTTTACAAGGTATTTATACACTGCTAAGAAGCAGTTACTGTTAACATGAACAAGCCAACAACCACTAACAAACTAACTGATCAGCTAACAACTAACAGTCTACAAACTGTTACTGACTCAGCTAACATTCTCCCTGCATCTTCACCTTCATTCCTTCATCGCAGCACAACACAAACTTTGTCTCGAAACTCCTCAAATGCTTCTTTTGACAGCGGTTTAGTGAGGCCATCCGCCACTTGGTGTGCAGCAGGCACGCAATTAACACAAATATGCCCAGCAGCAACCTTTTCCCTTACAAAATGCACATCCAATTCAACATGCTTGGACTGCGCGTGATAAATTGGGTTGGCACTCATGGCCACTGCACTCGTGTTGTCACACCAAATTACCGACTTACCTTGCTGTTGAACACCAAGATCAGTTAACAAGGTGTTAATCCATGTGACTTCAGCTGCAGCATCAGCAACACTCTTATATTCAGCCTCCATGGTTGACCTTGACACCGATCGTTGCTTCTTAGAACTCCACGCAACAAGGCACTTGCCAATGAATACTCCATAGCCCGATACTGATCTTCGATCATCCAGATTGACACCCCAGTCTGCATCAGCAAAGGCTAAGACCAATGCTTTGTTGTCAGATGGTGAAAATAGTAGCCCATAGTTCACCGTACCTGCCAGGTACCTAAGAATTCTCTTTACAGCAGCAAAATGTGTCACTCGGGGTGCATGCATGAATTGCGCAACTTTTCCTACACTCAACGACAAGTCAGGTCGAGTGTGACAAAGATAAAGCAGTGATCCAACAATGCTTCTGTACTCGCTTGCATTCTCAAGCAGCTCTCCTTCTTCGCGCGACAATTTGCATGCTGAAGTCATGGGTGTGGAACACATAGCCGCAGTTTTCATACCAGCCTTTTCTAGCAACTCTAAGGCAAATTTCTTTTGGCTAAGGACAAGAGACCTACTACTCCTTAATACTTCAATTCCCAGGAAGTAACTTAGTACTCCCAAGTCTTTAAGAGAGAACTTCCCTTGCAGCATGTCAACAACAGCTTTAATGCCATGAGAAGACCCTCCCGTGATTAATATGTCGTCCACATACACTAGCAGATACACACGACTACTGCCACTGTTTTTAAAAAACAAGGATGGATCCGCTCGGGAAACTTGAAAGCCAATTTCCAACAAGGCTTCCTTCAGCTTGGAATGCCAGTTTCGGGGTGCTTGTTTTAATCCGTATAATGCCTTTTGTAACTTGCAAACCAAGGTCGAGCCATCATCAGCTAGCTGCTCGAATCCTGGAGGTTGCTGCATGAAGACATCCTCTTTAAGATCACCATTAAGGAACGCATTATTTATGTCTATATGCCTCAGCTCCCAGTCATTGGAAACTGCCAAGGTAAGGATGACATTAACCATGGAGAACCTGACCACTGGGCTAAAAGTTTCACAAAAGTCGTGACCAGGCACTTGAGTGAAGCCTTTGGCCACTAAACGGGCTTTGTAACGATGAACAGAGCCGTCGGGGTTACGTTTAACCTTAAAGAGCCATTTGCAGCCAACTGTCGTTCTCCCAGGTGGCAGTTTAACTAGAGACCATGTCTCATTTCTTTCCAACGCCTCAATTTCTGCTTGAACAGCACACTTCCATTCTGAAGATTGGAGTGCCTCCTGAATACTTGTGGGAACATCATCATAAAAAAAACTAGAGAAAGCTTTTGGTTTAAAGATTCCACACTTACTCCTTGTCAGCATAGGATGTGCGTTCTGTATTTGTCGTGGTGCAGACTTTTCTGTAACTTCTTGTCTACAACCACTATCATCATGAGTTCCTAAGTCTGTACCAGTGTGTGCCTCATCAACATGCTCTTCTTCACTGTTTAGCTGTACCGAGTGCTGATCAGATTGACTTAACTGTGAGTCACTATGGCCGCTGTTACTTATATGTTGCTCAAGACTGTTTTGTACGTTCTCATCAGGTTCACCATTATCATCATCATGAGTTCCTAAGTCTGTACCAGTGTGTGCCTCATCAACATGCACATTGCTATTATCTTCATGTGGTTGTGATTCACCACTAAATGATCCATGCAGACTTTTATCATTGTCACATTGTATGTTCACCAATTGTTTGACATTGGACACAATGTCGAGTTCCTGAGGGTAGTATGAGCGTTGAGCAATGGAATTCGAGTCATCGAGCCTTTCTTTAAAAGGGAAGTGCCATTCATTGAACACCACGTGCCTGGAGATATAAACTCGCCCATCCCGAGCTAAGCACTGAAAGCCTTTGTGTTGTGGACTAACACCCAAAAACGTGCAGGGCTGAGACCGAAAGTCTAGTTTATGTCTTTGGAATGGTCGAAGATGGGGAAAGCAAAGACATCCAAAGACTTTGAGCAACTTCCAGTCTGGTTGCATGCCATAGAGTTTTTCAAAGGGAGAAATTCCTTGCAGCACTTTTGTTGGGAGCTTGTTCACGAGACCAACCGCTGCGACAATGGCATAAGCCCAGAATGTTACAGGCATCGAGGCTTGGGATAGTAGAACCAATGCCAATTCAACTAGGTGGCGATGTATTCTTTCAACCTTGCCGTTTTGTTCGGACGTATGAGGGCAGGTTAACCTGTGAGTAATACCAGCACTCGCCAGGATGTCAGCAAAAGGTCGAAATTCCCCACCCCAGTCACTTTGGACTGCCTTGATAGTCATTCCAAATTGTGTATGGACCATTTTCTGAAACAGTTGAAAAGCCATAGTTGTTTGTGACTTTGTGCGAAGCAAATAAATCCACGTATAGCGTGTAAAGGCATCAACAAAGGATATGTAATATCTAAATCCATTTGAAGCAACATGAGGAGGCCCCCATAAATCAGTGTGAACAAGCTGAAATGGAAAACTGTATTCTGTATTGGATTGAGCAAACGGTTGTTTGTGACTCTTGCCCACATGACAGGCAGAGCAAACTTTGTTTACATCAAAGGAGAGCTTTACATCAATTAGCTTTGCTACTTTGTTCAACATTTCAAAGGAGGGATGACCCAATCGCCTATGCCATAACTCTTCATCTTGCAAAGGCTTTGACGCTACGTTAATATCTCCTCTTACTGCTGCACTAGTTTTCTGAAAAGAGTACAAGCCATCTATTTCTTCTCCACTCAACAAAATTTGTTTAGTTGCTTCATCACGTACAAAGCATTTCTTGGCATGGAACTCAAGAAAGACACCGTTATCTCTAGCAAGCTTGGAGACCGAGAGGAGATTTTTGGTTATTTGGGGAACATGTAACAGATTATTCAATAATAACACACGAGTAGTAGAAGGAATAACAGCTTTGCCAATCTTATCAATGTCAAGAGTTACTCCATTACCTACCGTAAGCTTACCTGGTCCAAGGAAGTCGGTTTGAGTAACCATGTTGGAGGCATCGGGGGTAACATGGTGAGTGGCCCCTGAGTCCACTACCCATCGATCAGCAGTGGCAGTGACAACATTGGCTTGTGGTTACATGCTGGAAGAGGGTGCACCCAAGCATCCTTTAGAACAACATTCACAGCTTGAGTTAGCTTTCCCAGAGGCATAACGTGCATTCCCTGAATCGTCTTTTGCTGATCCATAACTTTCGGTTGTTACACATGTAAACTCTTCATCATATCTGTGCCAGCATCGATCAACCAAGTGACCAAGCTTGCCACAGAGTTGGCATTGCAACTTGGTTCGCCCACGCCCCCTGCCTTGATTTCTCACATTAGATCCATTAGCAGAGCGATTTGTCCTGGAATCTTGATGATTAGAAGAATTGAAGGGCCCACGACTGATACTGCCCTGAGCTACATTCGCACTGGCAGGAAGTAGCTCAACTTGCTCATCAAATCCTGCCAACTGAGATTCGGCATCCATCAACATAGTGTAGATGTTGTCAAGGGACAACGTTTCTTTCATTGTCGTTATGATGGCCATGAATGGCTGGTATTCGCGTGGCAAGCCTTTCAAGATCGTAACAATGTGTTCGACATGGATCTAATGTGAGAAATCAAGGCAGGGGGCGTGGGCGAACCAAGTTGCAATGCCAACTCTGTGGCAAGCTTGGTCACTTGGTTGATCGATGCTGGCACAGATATGATGAAGAGTTTACATGTGTAACAACCGAAAGTTATGGATCAGCAAAAGACGATTCAGGGAATGCACACCTCTTTGACTCGTGTGAGGTATGTGCGCATACTGTCGCCACCTTTCTTCAACGAGTGGAGTTTATAATGGAGGTTCATTAACGCTGTTGTGGACCTGTTTGCAAAGAACTGTAACACCGTTCGCCAAACTGCTGCAACAGTTTCTGCTCCTACAAATTGAGGAAGAAGCTGGGGATTGATGGTCGATAGAAGCCAATAAGCAACAGCACTGTCCTGAGCAACGAACTCTTCATAACTGTCATTAACACGTTCCTCACCATTCTCATCAACTACAGTTTCTGGGAGGCAGTAACGCTCCAGTTAAGAGTCGTTCAAGGCGATGGCTTCTGATGGTTAAGAGAACCTGCTGCTTCCAGAGCAAGAAATTGGTCTCATCAAGAACGATGTTGACCTTCTTGTTCGAGAAGTTCTTCGCACACCCAAGCTGAAGTTCCATATCACGAATGAGACACAAAGATATTCACGAGCAGCGGAGAGAAAGGAATTCCTCGAACTCACCCAGAACCACCAGCGACTGATACCATAACGAGATGTATCAGTTTCAAGAAAACTCAAGTATATTCAATGATCAAGATGCATATTCAAGCCACATGTTTACAAGGTATTTATACACTGCTAAGAAGCAGTTACTGTCAACATGAACAAGCCAACAACCACTAACAAACTAACTGATCAGCTAACAACTAACAGTCTACAAACTGTTACTGACTCAGCTAACACGCCGCAACGGCTTCTTTCGTCGGCTCGGGAGGCGGTGCCGGGATACTGCGGTCGTCAGCCATTAAAACCTTAGGTTTGGTGGCGCAACCTCCCATATTTCCTCAGCTTTAGTAACCGGAGAGAGGCTATATATTATCTTTAAAGAAGAAAGAAAGAGGAGAAATCTAGGGAAAATTAAGGAAAGCAAGTATGTCAAGGCTGGTTGGCTTCCTATAAATATACTGCAAATTGCACATAAACCGACAACGGAAGCTAATCGACATATTTAACTATGCTCCAAGGAATTTGCAATAATAATGAGAAAAACAGGTGGCTCAAGCTGTAAAGCTTTTGATCACTCTAAGTTGTTGTAGCGTTGATTAAGAGAATATTTTATTTGTGGAAGGTGGACCAAAGGAAGAAGTACTTGAGGAGCATGAGTTGGCTACGGTTTTTTATTTCTTTGTAAACGGCTCCTTGGATTATGCCATTGATGCCTGTAATTGCAAAGGATAAGGGAACATTTGCCATTAATGGAATTAGGTTGTAATAGAATCGGCTGAGACATGTCAACCTTTTCTCCCAAGTTTAAGTTTATATTTCTTAACAAATCGAACATTTTATATTAAAGACTAAAAATAAAATATTTAAAAAATAAATTATATAAAATTAAAAAATTTCAATTAGAATGACCGTCTCTAATAATCTCTCAGTTCATCCAATATATCTCAAATGTTTTTTAACCAAATCTGATTTGATTTTGTTGCATGTTTATATTTAATGCGCGTTACTTATTTTTAAAATGTGAATTATCATGCAAAATAAATAAATACATAAATCTTTTTTTTCAACTATCATTTAACGCAAACAACATAATAGTAGAGTTGGATGATTTTGATGAAGCCGGTTTAATTAATTCACTTTATTCTTGTTGATAAGTGGCGGATGCATGAGATATTTAGGGTAGATATTAAATTCGGTTTTTCATTTTGAAATTTATTTTATTTTATTAATTTTTGTTTTATTAATCCTATTAATCTTGAAATTTTATCTATATCCTCTCTCTCAAAAACACACAAACACATATATATATATATAAAGATTTTATGTTGTTAATAAATATATTTATTCACCGTCAAGAAATATTTTGGATTTGCTATCGTTGATGATAGTAACATTTAAGTTGTGAATCGTAAGTAGTTCACACATTTTAATGTAGATGGAGGGTCATAACTAATAAATTTACCGTAAGTGACTACTTTTTGAATGATAAAAATTATCTTTTGAGAGAAGACATGAGGAATGAGAGCAGAAGTCGGTTGAAAATGATGGTGAGCAATTATCGAGAGACAGATATAAGATAATATATTTAACTCTAATAGATCATATGGACTAATATTTAACTCTTGGGCGAAAATATAATTGTTTAATTAAATAAGAATAATAATAAAACCAAAAACATTTGTACTTTGTTCGGGTATTTGCACGTCAACCGTCGATAAAATGTTTTAGAAAATCAAAAGGAAAAATATAATAATAAAAAGAGTGAATGTTAGATGATAAATCTACTAGTCAATTGGAGTAGTCCATTAATCAGTTGGATCATCTGTTATTCTATTATTAGTTTGGGCTTTAGATATTTATATGTTCTAATGGGCTGATGACACGATTATTGTAATCTGTTTTTGCAATTCAGTTTACCTACTCCGGCCACCGATGCCGCCATTCTCACAAATAGAAAAGAATATCATTTTTGTCATTTAAAACCCCAGAGCTTTGATCGGCGATCCCAGTTTCTTGAGGCAGGTGGTTCGGTCCTGTTTTATCTAATTATGCACATTTTCAGATGCCGAAACATCTTTCTACTCAAGAATTCGTTGATTCCAGCTTTCTTACCTGCAAAGCAATCAGCAACTGCTGCTACAACCCATGTCGGTTTATTTCATTCCACGCCTTTTACCTGTGAAAATCTGAAGAGAAAATGGAATTCTGTGAGTCTTTTTTATTTCCTCCTTGGTTCATTTATTATGTCTTAAATGCCACGGGTGAGCTTGAATTTGAATTTTTTATTTTCAATTGAATAGCAAGTTCATGAATTTTTGTTACTGGAAAGATTGATGGGATCCCTTGACTGTGCTAATATCAAAATTAGATGTATTAAGAATATCTGCTTGGTGGGTTTTTTATAATCTGTGTGAACAATTATTTCTACTTCTTCCCCCCTGAGAACAGCATAGAATCGGGCTTTAGATTTTAGTAATGTATTAAAGTTTCGGTTTAGGTATTAGGATAAATCTGTACTTTACCAAGAAAGCTTGACAATTTACACTGTTTCTACAGGATAAAAGAAGCACTCAACAGCCAACTAAGGTATGCAGCTTTGCAGGCTTTCTATTCGTGTAATCATTTTCACATGTATCTCTTAACTGTCTTGACCCTACTATATGAGATAGGTGTATCTTAAGATTGATGTTATTCTAGGACGGGCATTGTGGCTCGATCTGTTGGCCTTTTATCTTCGTGTTCTAAGAGCAGTGTTCAAATCTCCCTTTCAGTAGAGTAAACGCAAGTCCGAAGTCCCGACAACTGGGCTGTACTCGTCAGATTTCTAGGTTTATTCTTTGCTTAGACTGGGAACTTTTCTGTCATCATTTAGTACAAATAGAAACCTAATGCATCTCAGGAACTGATTTAACATGATCAATTTGAATGTTACCATTGACCACATGATGGACATTATCTGTTAATAGGTTAAGATACTGTTATTTGTTAATTTCTTTCTTCCTAAGTAGCTTTGTATGAACAGTTTGTCTTCCTCTGTAAATTTACTTTCTTGCTTCAGTTGTTGTTTTCAAAAATAGAACTTCTCTGGCATTTCAAATATTAAATGCAGAGTGAAGAAAGATATGCAGTACGTCAAAAGCGTGCCGAAACAAAGAGAGCTTTGAAAGACTTTGTTTTGAGTGGTCGTTTCTCACGTATTTCATGTCAGGTAAACTTTTCTGGACTCTTGTTTAATTTAGAGCCTATACCTTATTGAAGGTGTTCATTTACATCTTCCTCGTGCACTGTTTACATTATGGAAGTTGTAACTAGTAAAGTGAGCTGGAAAATTTCTTGTATTTCAGCATAAGTGCATGCCTTGGAACTGATTTCAGTTTCTTCATTATTTGCATTGCCGTGCCTCAAATATTTTATTCTGTGCTACATTTCTATGAAATATCCAAATAGGCTCCGAGTATAGAAGAAACTTATGATTTTAGTTATGCCATTGAAATAGTGAGTTTGCTGTCTTTCGGAAGTGGCTAATGACAAGTTCGATCTCATTTTGTTAAGCCTAAAATGTCATTTATTTCCCAAGTAAACCTGTGGTCCCAAATGTATGGGACCAATACCATTATCTTGCATATCAATTACATTATATACCGGAGATTGAGCTTATGCATTTCGTTAGTACCTGAAATTACGCAATGAACATACGCCTGCTTTTGGTTTCTATCTAGGATGAAGGTCCAATAAGGAAATTTGATGCAAAAGAAGGCCAGGATTCAGATGTCTCTGTTAAGAAGAATCGGTCGAGGTTTTCTGGACGACATGCTGCAAAATCTAACCGTAGAAAAAGTAAACGTGAGCTGCAACTTCCTTCTTCTATAATTACTTCCCTCTTTTCTCTCTTTAAATGATTTTTAGAAAAAAAACGCAATTGCCTCTTTTATATACTATTTTCACAGCGGGTATATTTTGATGACCTAAATATCTGCATGCTTTCATAAAATAACTTTAGAGTTTCCTTGTGCACGCTAGTATCTACTATCTAGTTTTGTTTGTATGATCTTATGTTTTGTTCATCCATCTATTATTTCAAAACAATAAGTAATTAACTCAGTCTAAGACTATTGACATGATCACTACTCATTCCATTATTTCTTTTGGGTAAAATTTAGTAGGACGAGGGATGGAAAGGGGATTTGAATGTAGGTTCGTGTGTAAACGTAACATCTAATATCATTAGTGAAATGCGAATTAATTTTCCTGCTTTCTAACAGTCACATGACCCTCAGTGAAAAGGCTTTTTCTTGTTCGATAGAATGCAGAGTTTGTCATAATGTAGAAAAACAATTTAATTATCTTTGCTTGTAAAGTCAGAACTTTGCTTTGTTTATATAATCTTCATGTTGTGTATAGTACAAGAGATGTCAACCAATTGTTTGAGACAATAATAGATTAAGACCTAACTAATTACATTTCCAAGTTAAAACCAAATCCACATAACAGATAGGTGCTAGCGTTTTACAAGTGCTTGCCCTCATGTTATTAACAAACGAGATGTCCTTTTACTTGCACAGGAAGGTTTAGAAGACAGAGTTTCTCGGAGGACTTTGATAATCCCGAGACAATTTTTGAAGCTGCATTTGGGAACAAGTGGTATACTTGGTCTTTTAGGGCTGATTTTACTTTCCGAAATTCGGAGTTTGGATTTGAGTGGAGAGAAAAATGGGACAGGACTAATCAAAGAACAGAAGAGCAGGAGATTCCTAGTGAAAGTGAGTCTGAGGATGAGTCATATGCTGTAGGATCATGTTCTGATAGAGTGATCCTTGGGCTACCTCTAACTTGCCGCTTAAAGCTAGAAGATGTTAAAAAGGCGTGAGTAGAGTGTTTTCATTAACTTTAGTTGTCAGAGGCCTGTGTTTTAAAATATTTGACGAATTTCAGTTTCTCTTTTTTTCTACCTTCTCTTCAATCATGTATTCTAAAATTATTAAAATCATCTTGCAGCTTCCGCTTATCAGCTTTAAAGTGGCATCCTGATAAACATCAAGGCCCTTCGCAGGTTAGTTATAATCCTTTTTGAGAACAATGCTTATGCCGTTGATTTAGTCGTACCGATCTACTGCGGCATCGATCTGTCTTGTGATTTCATTTCCTATTCTTGTTCAAAAAGTGGCATGATATCAACATATTTATGCAGGCAATGGCTGAAGAGAAATTTAAAACATGTGCTGCTGCATACAAATCATTATGTCATGCTTTAGCCTGAGATTACTGGTGTTCCTTAAAATTTAAGCTCCAAGTGGAATATAGCTACAACAATTATGGATTATTTTATTTTATTTTATTGTAATCTTCATAAGCAATTCTCCTCCCACCCAGGTTGGCTCTGATGCAAGCTAAAACAAAATATAACTGAAATTAGAGGAGAGGTGAAGATCGTAGAAGATTAAGATTAGGGTTCTCTACCCCCAATTCTACAAAATGAGACACATCGTTAACACCAAAATTAAGGGAGAGGAAAATTCGACTCGAACGAGTTATTAATTCGAATAACTCGATATTTTTTAGTATTTAGAAGATTAATTTTTAAGTTTGAGTCGAGTTTTTTGACTCCGTATGATATATGTATATGATTTATGAAAAAATATATAAAAAAATATTTATGTATTGTGTATAGTTATAAAAGACCATTTAAATTGAAAGCAAATAGTATTGTAATATTATGAATATTTATAATTAAATTTAATAGAAACTCAAACAATTTGATTTAAGAAGCTTTTAAGTTCGAGTTATAAAATATAACTCGTTAATTAGAATACAGTCGTCCTTAACCAAAATGACAATGCAGATGACTAACACAAAACGACATTGTATAAAATGAGTTTATTCCTGATAACAGATTCCCCTAAACACTTCAATCCAAATTATGTAGGTTTTCAAAATTTCCTAGACATGCCCATCAGTACTTTAAAATTCCATAAACATTGAACTATATTGTATGGTAATTACTATTCAACCCAAAATATAATCAGCAACTATTAATTTCACAATAAAATTTGCAATCATAGTTTTAAAGAATAAATGAGATATTCACCGCTTGTTAGCTTAACATGTCAAATCATCATTTGACAATAGATAAGGGATGATGCACATTTTATAGCACAATTAAAAGTTTAATCCGTGTCTTGTAACTTTTAAAATTTTGATAACTAAAAAAATATTTAAAAGAAAAGAAAAAGTTCATTTGAAAGACACACAGACGTCTTATTCCACCCTCACTTAGCCTCTCACACAGTTTATTCAAAAACAAATGATGACGAAAATGTACATTTACAGCTATCATTTAACCCACTTGATGTATCAAAACTCAATTTAGCTCTCCGCACACTATTTTACAGACACTAGCACTATGGACCATGACCCACTTTAACAAAATTTAAGCATCCGAAAAGGAAATTCCACTACTTCTCTCACAATCAGCCAATAATTGCCATGGAAGAAGGATCATTACCTATGATTGGAAAACCATCTCCTCCTCCTTCAGTGTTTCTGTTGTCATCCCGAGTTTGATCACCATTCTCACTTTCACCATCCTCCGTTGCTGATTCTTGACGCGGTCGTTCTTCTTGGGCACCCATCATGTGCATCAAGACTTCCTCAGGCTTTAACTCGTAAGCGCCATCAACCCTTTTAATCTTTTCTTTGTGTAAAGCATCTAGTTGGTTGAAGTAAGAACATGTCTTGGAATCCTCAGGCCGTTTCTTATTGCTTGCTTTCACCCTTTTGAAGTATTTGTTCATATTCTCCCATTTCTCTTTACACCTCTTAGCGCTTCGATCGTAGCCTAGCTTTTTCATTGCTGTTGATATTTCCTCCCATAGAGGAGGGCCTTTGGGGCTGTTGTCTTGATATTGCAAATCAAGATTAGTCCTCAATCTTATCAAAGCCTCCACTTCATCTTTGGGCCAACGAGAATTACTTAGATGCGTATAACTCTCGCTACCATAGCTATTTTCTTGCCGGTCAACAGCTTTCTCAACCGGGAATGTGGTCTCAGACAATTGCACCGAGGTCGATTGATCCGAAAACTTCTGTAGGAACGCTAGCACAGCTGCATCTTTAGCTGCTGCAATCGATCTCTCTTGCACCAATAGCTCACGCTCCCTCTTAATCCGAGCCAATTCTTGTACCTTCCACGCTTCCTCTCTCGCCATCCTATCCTGTTCACACTTCTCTATCGCCTCAATAAACTTATTCTGCAAATTCTCTTGTTTCTCCCTCATCTCCCTCATCAACCTCTCGAAAAGGTCTGTCTGTTTCCTCTTTTTCTTTCTAGTCCCATCCGATTCATCCAACTCCTTACTGGACGAAGAAGTCATCGAGGTAGAGGTCTCATTGAAATTCGAAGCTGGATTTCGGGCTGAAAACGGAATAGCTTCATGGATAACATTCAATGGCTCAACTGAGGCGTTGAAATTTCCACTGGCAGGTGGAATAAAAGAAGGTAATGCTTCTAATTGCTCGAAAAACCTATAATTCTTCCCATTTGCTTTCCCGGACCGACATTCTTTGGTTCTCCTATAGTACTTGTAGATATTCTCAAACTTCTCTTTACATTTCTTGTCACTTCTAATAAATCCCAGCTCAGCCATTTTCCTGAGAAAAAAAATCCCCATTGTTGCACCTCAAACTTAATTACTTTAACTTGGCAAAATTAATGTAACAAACGGGATTTAACTAACTAGAAATATCAAAGATAGTTAACATTATTGAACTTAACAGTGAAATTAAAACAAAATAGTATTAGAAAAAACAATATTTTAATACCTTTTTTTACTGCATTCACATAATAAGTTAATTTAAAAACAGTATAATTAAACTAGAAAGAATTCAATATCCCAACATAAGTAAAACCCAAATGTTTCCCACATTCTCTGTGTAGAACCCTACATTTCCCAGTTAATTTTCTCGAGAAAAAAAAACAAAGAAAGCAAACCTGGAAACTTCTTCCCAGAGAGGAGCCTTGACACCGGAGTCTCTAAAAGCAACGTCCATTTCAGACCTTATATTCAACAAAGCTAAAGTCTCTTGCCTCGGCCAACGGTTCCCTGAAGAAAAATTCCGTTCACTCTCTTCATTTTTCACCTTAGCTTCCTCTTCATTATCTGAGCTGACGTTGCCGACGACTGTATTGTTTTCTGGGGAACTTGAATTTTCCATCATCACTAAGAAAAGATCACTCCAATAAATTTGTTTACAGCTCCCAAAAGCCAAAAATGTGATTTTAATTGGGTTTTTTTCTTGAAGGAGTGGAAAAAGGTAAATATTTCTAGATTTAAGGGATGGGGTTTTCTTTCTTTTTTCTTTTTTAAGGTAAAGTTTTCATTTTTTGCCTTGATAATTCAACCATTTAATTGGGCTAAGTAGGTAAGAAACTATAGGTGAATTAGAGTTTTTTCTATAAAAAAAATAAAGATAAGATGGGGAGAGTTGTGTGGGCCAAAAATCAAGCTGGTATTTTTTTTCACATATTCATATTGTTTATAATTTTTTTCAATACTTTAATCTGGATGGTTATAAAATATTATCTATTAAATTATTTTAGATTTTTTTAATCGATTAATAATATATACACCCTATAGTTATATTTACTCAAACTCGAAATCTCAAAAGAAAATAATATTCTCGTTACTACTGAAAATAATAATAAGTTCATGTATCATTTATAATTATTATTGTATTAGTTTTTTATGAAAATAATTATTTCTACGTTAGAATAATAATATTTCATGAATTTTGATTTAATAACGTTTTTATAGTTTTACTCCATATGTGTTTTTATTGTATTTTTAATTATATTTCATATATATCTTAATGTTTTCAAATTGATTTTTTTTATTTTGTATCTTTTGACTTGTTTGAATGGTTTGACCCAACTCTTGATCTTGAAATGGTCAATATAAGTGGGCTTTGAACAATTTGAGCATGAAAAGATAAGTGACCCTAAATATATTGGGAAGCCATGGGTAGAATTGGAAATAAAAATAATAATAATTGAGTTAAATGTATTTAAATTACTATTTATATTATAAAGACTAACATTTTGAAATATTTAATTCAATCCTTAAAGAATTAATATTATATCAATTATATTATTTTATTTTATTTTTAGGTTTAAATTTTAGTTTGAATTTAAGGTAAAACGTATTTAAATTATGTAAAGCAAAATTTAAATATATATATATATATATATATTTATCACGTAATTATATTAGATCAAATATATAAAAAAATAATTCTTTTAAATTTTGATAATACAATATCTTTAATATATTAACTAAATTATTTATTAAATAAACACATATATTTAAAATTTGATTTATTTGAATTCATTGAGTAATCTCAATAATAAAAAAGAAAATATTTTCTCTAGAGATTTTAAGTTCAAATAAATCTTTTTACAAAGAATTATAAATAAAATAAATGAATAAATAATAATAAAATTAATAATTCTATCCAGAAAATATTAAAAATATGATGATATTAGGAAAGTAGTGTAGAATTGGATGATTTTATGGAGAAGTTTTCACATTGCATAAAATTAACGCAGAAGTCCAAGTTTTGAAGAACGGTGAAAGCTCAAGTACACAACGCGTTTGCATGGGACCAATGGGATTGCCGTCCATTGACTTTTTTGTAATTTTCTTATTTATGATACATTTTATTTCATAAGCTTAGCAAAGTATTTTAAATAATTATATAATTTAAGAATCGGTTTATTATTTCAAAAAATATTTTAAAATCTTAAATCAATTAATATAAACAAAAATAAAATATTTAAAAGTGAACAAACAAATAAAATATATCTCCTAAAATGACATAAAAGACGAGGTGGAGATTGCTTTTAAAGTTTTCGGTAAATTAACATTTAACCTTTTAAAAACTTTAGAGATAAACCAATAATATACTTAAATATAAGCAACATGATATTATATCACGTTTGAATCATTAATACTTCAATAAAAGCTATTAACATGAATGTTCTCAGGTAAAAAAAATGCTTTTAAAATGAAAATAAAGAAAATATAATGACCACTACAATCACTCTCCAGCTACAAACACCCTCCAGCTACAAACACCCTATTCAGCAACGTGTTTGAAAGATGCATGGTAATGGAGGACCCCAAAACCAATTGTCTGAAGGGCTGCCATCACAGTTAAATGACACCGGAGGGTTATCACAACTGATGAAAGGCTTATATAATACATTAATACCGGAGAACACCCTCAAATTCTCCTTGCCTTCAATTCTTCCCCGCATGGGAACCAGACTTGAATTCACTTGACACAGGACACGAAGAAGCCAACTAAACCGAAAATGTAACCGACCATGAAAGCACTTACAGAGTTTCTTAGAAACACTTCCTGTGGACAATGGATGGACCAGACTCGTCATACTCGCCCTTGGAAATCCACATCTGATGCAGCAGGTAAACCGATATATGTCAGTCTCAGACAACCAATGCACAGAAAAGTATAAATGGAAGCCACTTATATGCAAAAATATATTTCACCTGCTGAAAGGTGCTGAGCGATGCCAAGATAGATCCTCCAATCCAGACACTGTACTTTCTCTCTGGTGGTGCAACGACCTTGATCTTCATGCTGCTTGGAGCAAGGGCAGTGATTTCCTTGCTCATACGGTCTGCAATGCCAGGGAACATAGTTGAGCCACCACTGAGCACAATGTTGCCGTACAGATCCTTCCTGATATCCACATCGCACTTCATGATCGAGTTGTACGTAGTTTCATGGATTCCAGCAGCTTCCATTCCAATGAGAGATGGCTGGAACAGGACTTCGGGACAACGGAATCTCTCAGCCCCAATAGTAATGACTTGTCCATCAGGTAATTCATAGTTCTTCTCAACAGAAGAGCTGCTCTTGGCAGTCTCCAGCTCTTGCTCGTAGTCCAGAGCAACATATGCAAGCTTCTCTTTCATGTCACGGACAATTTCCCGTTCAGCAGTGGTTGTGAACATGTAACCTCTCTCAGTAAGAATCTTCATCAGAGCATCAGTAAGATCACGACCAGCAAGGTCTAGACGGAGAATGGCATGAGGAAGGGCATATCCTTCGTAAATTGGCACAGTGTGAGAGACACCATCACCAGAATCCAGCACAATACCTGTTCCAATAGGGAGATAATTCAGTGGTGGGTTGACTAGAAACAATCTATAAAAACTATGAAACATTTACAGGGATTTGACGAACCTGTTGTACGACCACTGGCATACAAAGAGAGAACGGCCTGAATGGCAACATACATGGCAGGTACATTGAAGGTCTCAAACATGATCTGGGTCATCTTTTCTCTATTGGCCTTGGGGTTCAGAGGTGCCTCAGTGAGAAGAACAGGGTGCTCCTCTGGAGCAACACGGAGCTCATTGTAGAATGTATGATGCCAGATCTTTTCCATATCATCCCAGTTGCTGACAATACCATGCTCAATGGGATATTTCAAAGTAAGGATACCTCTTTTAGATTGTGCCTCATCTCCTACATAGGCATCCTTCTGACCCATCCCAACCATGACACCAGTGTGTCTTGGTCGACCAACAATGCTGGGAAAAACTGCCCTGGGAGCATCATCACCAGCAAAACCAGCCTGAAAGATAAACAAAATCAGCTCAACCAAGACAAAGTAAAGCTCTTCGTTAAAGAAATAAACAATAATGGAGAGAATAACTCAGGTCTACAAATCCACTAACCTTCACCATTCCAGTTCCATTGTCACAAACTAGGGGTTGAATATCCTCGGTATCAGCCATCCTTTAAAAATCTATAAAGGAGATTTGAGATAGTGAGTTTTAAAAAATACTGTCCACCAGGAACCTACGCCTTTTCATGTAAATAAGAAAAAGGGAAATCTATGACAATTGACAAGTATAGATCACGGATTCAAATCATGATCGCATTTTCGGTCATATCTGGTTTACCGCAATTGCAGCCATAGCGGAGGCTATTGCAGGTATAGCGGAAGGCAACACTACCGCTATTTCGCGAGCGCTATCGCAGTCGCGGACCGCTATTTAAAACATTGGTACAGATTCAATCCTATTTATACATAATTAAAAAAAAACGAAAGAAGAAAAACTTAAGTAATCATTCTTTTCTTCAAGTACATAAATCAAAACTATTCAGTAGCCTAGTTAGCTAAAGAAACTACAGTTGTGCAAAAGGTTCAGTTAACCGAATAAACTAATTGAATAAAAACCAATTTGACCATATTAGTTATGTTTTGTTGATTTTTTTACTTTGTTGGCTCGGAAGTTTGGGTTAAATAGATTTAATCAGTCGGTTGTCGAATTTACTTTAAAGTCAAATAAACCGACTTACACTATATAACTATACCTAAACCAAATACACCCTTTATATAAGTATACCTAAACTTGATCCATACACAACCCAACTCATTTTAGTTTAAACTACAATTTTATAAACCCAACCCAAAATTATAAATTTACAATTAAGTTAATTAAAAATAAAATTTATTGATTAAAACCCAAGCAAAAAATTAAGCCACCGTGATGTGACACGTATCTATCAATATCAGTTCTGATTATATTAGGCGCCCCCTCCCCTTCCCAAATCAACAGCAACCCAGACTAAGCTATCCCATCCGACGGAATATTAACTATAGATAAAAAGGGAAAAAATGACCAACCCGAACGAAGGATTATCTCGGTTATCGTACATATTGGTCAGTCGGGTCGGTCAATTTTGATGTATTAAACGACTCATTCAGTTTTTGATATACAAGAACTGAAGCGTCAGATTTTACCTTGTATTACCCAGAATAATATAAAAAAAAGAAATGATTGAACTGATTTGAACTTGCCGATTTGAAAACATTTAGAAAAGTTAAGTTCTGTTAGCCAACCAATTTCACAATCCAAAACATAGAAACCATTCATGGATAGTATAAGCAAGAAACTAAGTCAATTATCCAAAGAAAAAAAAACTAGAGCCTCCAAATAACTTCAGAACAAATCTTGAAAAATCAATTAAAATCACAAAATGAAAGGATTAACCAGAACAAGCTGGAAGGGAAAATGAATCTTCTCATAAAGATCTATAAAGAAATCGCAATATAATTAAGCAACCCAAGCTAAGTAAAGATCCAGATAGAAAAAGAACCAGATCGAGCTATATCAAACTCTATGGAAACTGAAAGCACTTTAGATCTCATTCTCCATCATCGGTAAAACATCAAAAACCCACAGAT